AATTCTTCGCATCTCGTTCCAAAGAGTGGTTAGGGAAGCTGCGAATAAAATAGCGCAGGCCAGAGGTATAGAAGAAGATCTGAGGTAGCAGTCTAACGCCCTGCTGTCTCTTCAAAAGGCAGCAGAGGTACATCTCGCATGTCTTTTCGAGGATACGAACCTCGCGGCGATCCACGCTCGTCGAGTAACGATTATGCCTAGGAACATCAGGCTGGTGCGACATATACGTATTAGTGCTTCACAAATGGCACTTTATCTACAAAACTCTTCGGATACTCACAGTCAATACATCTGTTGGGACATTTATTGCTACATGTCCAACTTTTTTCAGAAGTCTGTTTGTTATTACTGTATGCATAATAAACCGTTGAGGATCGAACGTTGCATGGGGTTCGGCCTCGGTGACGTTATCCTTTTTGCCTGCCACACCAAGGCACTAGTAGCCTCCCAATCATGACATTAGGCCCCGTCTCGCCTGATGGCGAGAGGCATACCCATATTAGTAAGTTCTATTCGGCACGAGAGGCATGCCTAGATTTTAATTCACATTCAGCATATAACCGCACATTTGACGAGAAATCACCCAGCTCAACAACACAGACCACCACGAGACCACCGAGTCTTTTCGAAGGCATCTTATCACTGATCTGCCAACAAGAACATTCCGTTCAGCCAATAAGCCTATGAAGTTATAATGAACATTAAAAACATCACTGAAGCGGTTATCGTACGAGCGCTTCTTGTCATTTCGGAAGGTACCTCATACAGATTGCCCCCTTTGTACTGATTGCTTCATTTGCCCTTTTGATGGCTACTATTATAAATTCGTGATCATGCTTAGTTGTTTGTCCTAATCTGCTGGATCACAGATATAATCATTGATTCACTATCTCCCTGAAAAGGTCACGATTTCGAAGCCGCCGCTGTGCGCGCCTTCACAAGAAGTTGACATTGTATGGCGCCGTAGCAATCGAGGACTTCAGAGCAAAATGATGGCGTATATGTGATTATACTTCTACACACTACTTAGCAGGGATGCGAATGGCTAGTTCCTCTACTGCGCACCCGGTGAGGTACGTACGAGAGACTTATGGAGCGATTGCTCTCGCTTCCGGACCATGATGCGCTGCTATCCGCAATCTGTAGGCCGTCACAGCCTCAACACGAAGAACTCTATTGCCACGTATTTGATGTTAACCCGTTTACCTATGCCAGTGCGCCTTACTTACAGCCAACTGCTATCTCGGCTGAGTAAGCATATAACGCAAAGCACGCTTAACCCAGTCGTATCTGAGCAGTTGATAAGCGGTCAAAGGGTCGTAGAGGCGGCTCGCGTCCACGACAGCGGCGGTCAGCTGTTTCCAACATGATTTAGCCCTTTTCTCCCTATTTTCCACTGTATTTTCCATTTTTTTTCCAAGGTAAGCTGTGTTATTGTCTCCGTGAGCTATATGAGAACGTGGATTCTTTTTTGTTCTTTCTAATGAAGTGCTTTTACATTTTTTAGATATTTGTTTAAATGTTTGTTTAACTGTTCAATTGTTCGCAAAAATTAGAGGATCTCAGTCATAATTTACCTTGGAAAACACAACTAACCTCAATAAAAGCAGCCCAGTGAAAAGTGGGAGGGAATCAAAGAACCAGGCCGTAAACAGCTGATCTGCTTGCGCGGTCGCTGCTATAGCCGCGTCCTTCGCCGACCGCCTAATCAACTGCCCTGATGACGACTGTATCTTTGTTGGGGATTCCCCAACAAGGGATCGCTGAGATAGAGTGCGGCGGTCTTAATTGGAGGGGCTTTCAGCACAAACATTGTAAAGGGGTCAGTACCACTATCAAAAGTTCGAAGTGATAAACTAGTTGTCGACTTGTCGACTGTAGGACCTGAGACTACATACCAAGATACCAGTATGAAGATCTGCACAAGAAATGCAGTGGCAATACAAGTAATGAAAGAGCAGTACAACACACTAGAATAATCAATTATTTTACCACTCTTGATAACGTTAAACTGTGAAATCTAACATATACTAATACAAATGGCAGCATAGTTGTTGTTCTCGCTGAGGACCTGCCTGCCCTCTCAAAAGGAAACACAACCTGCTCATGCGGTCAAGGTCATACTTTTGCGATAAATTAGCAAGCTCATTGTCAGATGCAGTCACCACCATGGTTCTTCTTTACTATTCACGGATACTTTTGCATTTTAATGTATTAGGTCATCTCATT